TAATTCGAAATAGAAATTCTTTTTTTTAGACAAATGAAGGAAATAAATGTCTTGATACATTACAATTAACACGTATGTTACGTGGTATTGCATCCGGAATGAAATACTTATCTGAAATGAAATATGTTCATCGAGTAAATTAAAAAGATAGAGGAGGAGAAGAAGAAGAAAAAAAACAATTACTTATTTTCTTATTAATAGGATTTAGCAGCACGCAATATTCTTGTTAATAAAGATCTTATATGTAAAGTAGCTGATTTTGGTTTAAGTCGTGAAATAGATGAAGCTGAAAGTTATACAACAAAAGGTGGAAAAATTCCTATACGTTGGACAGCTATGGAAGCAATTGATTATCGAAAATTTACATCAGCTTCGGATGTATGGAGTTTTGGTGTATTATGTTGGGAAGTTGTTTCATTTGGTGAAAGACCGTATTGGAATTGGTCAAATCAAGATGTTATTAAAGCAGTAAAGAAATCATTTCGTCTTCCACCACCTATGGTTTGAGATAATAAAAGATTAAATTTTTCCAATAACTTTTTTTTTCTTTTAGGGATGTTCTGATCTACTCTATAAATTAATGCTAGCATGTTGGAATGAAAATCATTTACAACGACCAAAATTTAGTGAAATTGTTCAACAGTTAACACAATTCATTCTAGTACCCAGTGGACTTATTCCATTAGCAAAGCAAAAGTAAAGAAAATATAACTAGTTGCTTTAGGCAGATTTTTGAAGAAATAATTTTTTGTCCTTCTTATTAAAAAGTAATAGACAGTAGTTGTCTACTATTAGAAATAAATGATGATACGATTATCATCAAAAGTCGTGTTTTTAACGATTTATTTTGATTTCTCATGTGCCTTCAATCATTAGATACAAATGAAATTTTCTAATGACGGAAATCAATAAATCAGTTTGATTTCTTTCAATGTACTTGAATCAATAACTTCTACACACGACATTACTTTTTCAGACAACCTTGACAATGATCTTGATGTAAACAAATTATCATGATGTCTGACTTATAACTAAAGTATATCAAGAGTTATAAATAAAAATATCTCAGAGGATTGCAAATCCAATCAGAAGTCTATTAATAGAACACTAAAATATTTAAAAACAATTTTTTTTTGTATTTAAGACTCGTCTTTGTCAATCATCCAGATGAACCAAATATTGCTCAGTTAACATCAATTATTGACTGGCTTCATAATCTTCAATTAGATCGTTTCATACATTTATTTACAAATAATGGTTATACAAATCTTTCACAAATATGTCATTTTAATTCATTAGATTTAAATGATATTCTTGGTAATGATTTTACATTTGATGAACAAACTCGTCTATTAGATAGTTTAAATCATATACGATCACAACTTGTATTAACATCATCGAAATCATTATTGACTGGTGAAGGTTATCTTGTATAAATAAAAAACAAACTTTCTTCATATTGACTACAGTAATTTTTATAATTGAGCTAAAATACGATATATAATTAATCTAGTCAAAAGCTCGTTCGCGCATTCCATCGATACAATAGAAAATAAAAACACAATTTGCACGATGGCTTTCTCTGGTGATGTCAGATTGTATATAGAAAATAAAATTTGATGTATGTGTGTGTGTGTGTAATCATTTGTTGTTGGTTTTTTAGAATTTTTGTTTTGATTCTCTTTCCTTTTTTTTGTTTGATGAACACACATTTGAAAAAAAAATAACCAATATATAAAATATTCGTGATACATATATGTCTATCATTAATCTGATGAAATGATAGGTTTTGAAGTATCTTATTAACAGAATAAGATTATGTAAGATATAATAACAATCCGATAATTATTTTAGATTACATATGTTCCTGTAATTATGAATTAATTTCTGCTTTTATTAATGAATAAATATTATCTTATATAGTGATGAAAATTACCGGTGTTGTCCTCGAGATTTAAGAAATAATTAAATCTATTTAAAACAAGGAAATTAAAAAAGATGGATTGCCTTCTTATTTAATTAACATCTATATATCTAAAGGATGTTCCAAGTGCAGAATTGTAACATCGTAATTTCAATGCTTTTAGTTGTGCTTAAATTATTTCCTTGTGAGATTGATGTATGAATGATTTTCATTTTGAAGGTAAAAATGAATAGACAATTAGTTCGTAATTTAATCTTTCAAGATCGATAGAATTTATAACCTTCCGAACTCTCATTTGTTCATTATTCTCTCAATAATTGAATTTTTATCAAATTTAAAATAATTTTCATTGATGTTGACAAGTAAAAGAAAAGAATAATTAGATATGTATATGCACAAAGACAATTATACGCACGATAAGTAATAGAAACAAAAAGAAAATAATCGTAACAATGGCTACTAAATATAAGAATAATATATAACATGTACAATAGATAAATAGTCTTTCTTGTCTTATTATGAATTCATCATTTAGATGATACGACTTTTACGATTGCGTGCTACTGCTTCAGCAATATAAACTGCCATACCAACAAAAGCAATGACAGATGCAATAACAGCACCTAATGAAAGAATCGTTTTATATTTATAGTTGATATCCGATCAAAAAACAAGAAATCTTACTATGATGATAAGCATCATGCGGAGCAGAACCATACCACCGACTAGCTACAATTGCTGATCCAATACCAAAAACAAAAAGAGCAATAGCAGCAGCAAAAGCATAAATAGTTCGAAGACGATTCAATGGTGCAAGTGTACCATCAGTTATCATTAATTGTTCGATTAGAAGAAAACCAGTTAAAGTTAATACTAAATATACATAATGTTTTCATTTCTTAAAAATATTTCAATTTAACTTACAAATCGGAAAAACTATTGAATAACCCATACGATAAGCAGATATTGTTGGATTATATGGATAATTTACATGACAATGAATAACACCTATTATAGTTATAACACAAGCTATTGCCATAAGAATTATAATTGTACGTCTAAGATCCATTCTATTTTAAATATATATATGATTTATTTATATTGAAATAATCTAATAATATAGTACATACTCTTGTTTTTCTTTCTTACTTAATAAATAGACTGGTATTGTTGTTGTTGTATGTTGTTTACAATTCGTAACACTCAACTGAAGATTATTATAACTACTAGTCTAGTAATCAAATATAGTTTACTCTCGATATCTCCGATAGATATACAAATAGAAAAAAAAAGGAAATAGTTGTCCAATGTACGCTAATACTCTCTCATTTTCTCTTCTTTTGACGTCAACAATAAATATGTACTCAATCGTGGATTAATTAGACGCACGAATAAACGTTAATACACTTCATATTGATAATAGTTCGAAAATGGTTAAAATCGAATAAATATATATATACATATCGGAATGGTATAACATAATCAATAGGATTTATTCGTTGATCACACAAGTTGAATAATACATATGATCATCATTGAGCCGATAGATAATTATTGTTGTTGTTGGTATTAATGGGAGATGAAGCATCATATAATGTAATAATGATGTTTCGTAAATAGCCAACATAAAGTAAATTATGTTGATCGCCGAATGATTATATATTGATTGTACGACTTCATTATATATGTATTGCGTACTTTTTTAAATATTCAAATATTTCGATTAATTTTAACTATGTACATTTAAAATAAATAAAAAAAGATCATATTCTATTCAAAGACATACTACGAATCTTAGTATTTTGTACCGCAACATAGATTTGATTGACACTTTTGATTATCCATCTGTTGCTAATTACAAAAGAGATAACGATAGGCATGTTTATTATAAGAACAGCTTTTAGTAGCATGTGTCATTACTTTTCAACTTAATATGACTACGAATGACCTATATATGTATTAACCATCTCATTTATTTGTTTGTATGTCTATCATAGGTAGAGTTCAATCTCGTGTGTTATATAAAAATAAGTTTCGTGAAATACACTGCATCTATACCAAATATGATTATCGATTATCTCATGGACATTAATTTTCTGTTTATACTTGATAATATTTATGAGTATCTGTCATGTTTAGCTACAACAGCATAAAGAATAACTATTTAATGATGATAACATAGAAGGTATTGACAGATTACTATCTTGAGTAAAGTAATACCCTGTTTTTAATTTACCATACAGAAAACTATCGTAGAGAATAAATTGGCAAATCTGAATCTTATTCTATTCAATCAAGTATCGGTAAGAACTCTTATATAACATGTGCAATGTTGTCTACAAAATGTTTTTTAAATTGAACATTATTCTTGTAGTGCATTTATTCACAAAGAATCGAAAAACGAACTTAACTTTTCTACTTTGCATCTATGTTTTCTTGTGATGAAAAATATTTTGCATCATATACCCACAGAAAGACGACAGTACACTAACTTTCAATTAGAAAATGTATCTTTAGGTTTATAGATATCCTGAAACTTTTGAGAAAGTAATATTATCTCAAGAATTATCTATACTAAAAGTACTTTTTCTATCACCTGAAGTTTTTATTATATTATGTCTAGATAGATATGCGTGTAATCCGTATACTAGTTTAGAAGCTATGGAATTAGTTTTCGATAATTGTAAAATTTGTATGGATTTGAATATTCTTGAAACTTATTAATCAGAAATACTCAATTCCGAACATTATTTCATTCAATGTCTGATATCATCATAAGATAAGAGAGATATTTATCACTGTGATTTATATTTTTAGCAATCTCTAGCTTGTAGCTAGATTATATTATTACTAATCTATTTTATTCATAATGATTAATTATTAGTATCTATATATATACAAAGAAAAGTCTCTAATTAATATAAAAAAATATGTTAAAGTATTCTATCAAATTGTACAAAAGTGTTTGTTTTATTTATTAATAATCTTCCTATTTTAATATTTACATCTAACTTTTTTTTATATATAATTAACAACAAAAACAACTGTTCAAATGAACAAAAGAAACAAGTCAATATTAAATCCTATCATCATCATCATCATCGTCATCATCATCAGGATCTTCAATAAAATAATCAGTTGAATCAATTTGTTGTTGAACTGTTTGATCATAATTTTGCATCATATCAACAAGATATATTGGTATTGGTTGATTAGCTGATAATAATTGTGGTTGATGTGTTTGTTGTTGTGTTTGCATATTAAGAAAACAAAATTTAATTAAATAATTATTACTATGATTCGGATCACGAACTAAACCAAATGATTGATCAAATATTCCAATACATGTACCACGTTGATGTATTGTTCCTGAAATTTGTATTGAAACAAGACCATGTTTAGATTCTTCAACTTTATTCGATTGTATATTTGGATAAAAACGTAAATCTTGACTAGTAATATAAGAACGAAGTGTATCACAAACATAATATGCACCTAATATTCGACGATGATTTTCATGTATAAGAGTTAATTGACAATCGGGAAAAAAATGATCAGATGTAAATGTTGATAAATTATTCCATGATGTATAAAACCATTCAGTAAATTGATGTGATAATTGATGAATGCTTGGTAATTTAATTGTTGGTGAAATATTATTTGATATCGATTGAGAATTATTATTCCAAAATTCTATTATCTGTTTTACAAGTTTTACCTAAAATGTTCAAATAT